CTGGCCAAACACCGATCAGCCTCCTAGGAGAAAGATGCAGGATTGTCATCAAAAAAGTGTATTCTGGCAAGTGTTTTTCTGAGTCAGAACAGTAATCTACCTGTGTGATGATTCTATTTGTGCGTTCCTTACAATTATGAGGCCTTATATATTTTGAGAGGTATCGTGGGCCAGCAAGATGACTTGGTGGATGGAGGCTTCTGCTGCCAAGCCTGAACACCAGGGCTGAAGTCCAGCACTCAAACTGGGAGCCCTAGCCATGTGCCCCAGGCCATGCCAGTGAGGGTGGGCAGGCTCACAAACACACACACACACACACACACACACACACACAGGTGTGAGCTTGTGACCCAAACACATGTTCTCTTGAACCTCATGGTTGAGAAAGCATGAAGCCGTGTCCTGGGAACTCTCCCTACACTGTTTTGGGTGTACAGGGGACCCTGCACTTCCCATCTTTCCCAGGGTGATCAGCAGTTACTTAAGGAGCCCCATCACCTGCCGCCCAGTCCCCCATCCCCCAGAGAATGACATGCTCACACCACTCCATGATACTTTTCTTTCTTTTGTCACCTGATCTAAACAGGGGATCCCACTTTTCATGCCCTCTGTAGCTGGGATTTAGGAAAAGATTTGCACCGCCCATGCAACACTGCTTCAGGTCCAACCCGGGGCTTCAAGGTCTTTAACTTCCCACATTCCTACAAGGCTACAGGACAGAAGAGGAGCCGAGTGTCCAACTCACCTCACGAAATAGGGGGAGCAACGTGGGGGCCTTGGAGATTGCTCCAACAGGGGAGCTCCAACGGTGTGGGGAGGGGTGAAGTGGACTTGACCCAGAGGGTCAGTGGTCCTGAGACCTGATGCCCTAGGTCCCTACTGGCTGGGCACACCAGTGAGCCTCCTAGGAGCAAAGATGAGGGACTGTCATTAAGAATGGATACTGGGGGTGCTTGAGTGGTTCCCCGGATACAGTTTTTTGCTCCCAGTCCCCGATCCTCAGAACCCACATGTTCTCATGACTGGTACACGTTCTCCTCAGACCCGCCCACACGTGTGATGGCCTACAATTGCTGGGTGTACAATTCACACAACCCATGTCATACAAATATGTTTAATAACAGCGTTTGTATGGTCAGTAGGGAATGAATTTGGTTGGCCAAGTGCTAGCATAGCATACAGGAAGCCATGGGTGCCCCCTCCCCTCAGCACCAAAAGCCACCTGGTAGCTCAGGCCTGTGATCCTGTATTCCCCAAGCTGGAGGCTGCTGGCATTCCAGTTCACAGACCTCCTTAGTGACACAGTGAGAGAGTGGCCATCCCAAGTCTTTCTGTGGGACCATGAAGTGCCTTTAAAAGCTCTCCTTCACTAAGTCCCCTTACTCGGTGCCATGTCATTATCTGTACACGCCTGTGTGTCTCCTGTAGAGTGCAGGGACACACACTCGCCTGTGAGAAAGGTGCAACAGTGTCTCTTGCAACTATTTGCAGAAAGCAGGCATTGGAGGATGTGGTACTAGCCCACCCCAGTTTTGGTCCACCCCTAGTTTTGGTCCACAGCCTTGTCATCATTTTGCCCTGCCAGCCAGCTGCCCTCTGAGCTTCCAGACTGCCTGTATTGTCTCTGCCTCCCAGGTGGCCACAGAAACCTGCAGGGTATGACCTACCCAACTCCCTCAATTTTGCCTGCATTGTGGGGCCTCAAACGCAGATCTTCATGCTGGTTGGCAAGTGTCATACCCAATAATCCATCCCCTCAGCACTCCCTCCCCTCCAATGTTGAGGGTCCAGGCCAGCCTGGGGTATCTCTGGTTTCCCAGACTAATATCTCAACAGGAAATCTGTGTGAGCCTCCTGAGTCTTGGCATCTCATGCCCCCACCTCCTAGGCCACAGTTTCTTTGGTCCCACATTCTTGTCTTCCACTCCTCTGGATCCATCCCAAGGCTTCTCTCCCGTGCCTAGCCCAGGAAGCACTCATTGTGTGTGTAGGCTGTATGAATGACTGTAGAACCACCTTCCTCCCCAGTTGTCTCTGGTCCTCTCCTGGGGCTGTAAGGTCTCTACCATCGGACTCCCAACCTCAGCATCTGCAACTGTGGTAACCTTCAGGTGCTAGGCATGCGTGTCAGGTGGGAGCGTGGCACAGATGATGATTTACATGTCCCACTCACCTCAAGGAATGGCGGTAACTTGGGAGGCTTGAAGAAGTCTCCTCTTGCAAGGGAGCTCCTACGAGTGGGGCGCCAGTAAAGGATCAGACCCAGAGGGTCAGGGGCCCTAGGACCTGATGGCCTAGGTCCTTACTGGCCAAACACCGATCAGCCTCCTAGGAGAAAGATGCAGGATTGTCATCAAAAAAGTGTATTCTGGCAAGTGTTTTTCTGAGTCAGAACAGTAATCTACCTGTGTGATGATTCTATTTGTGCGTTCCTTACAATTATGAGGCCTTATATATTTTGAGAGGTATCGTGGGCCAGCAAGATGACTTGGTGGATGGAGGCTTCTGCTGCCAAGCCTGAACACCAGGGCTGAAGTCCAGCACTCAAACTGGGAGCCCTAGCCATGTGCCCCAGGCCATGCCAGTGAGGGTGGGCAGGCTCACAAACACACACACACACACACACACACACACACACAGGTGTGAGCTTGTGACCCAAACACATGTTCTCTTGAACCTCATGGTTGAGAAAGCATGAAGCCGTGTCCTGGGAACTCTCCCTACACTGTTTTGGGTGTACAGGGGACCCTGCACTTCCCATCTTTCCCAGGGTGATCAGCAGTTACTTAAGGAGCCCCATCACCTGCCGCCCAGTCCCCCATCCCCCAGAGAATGACATGCTCACACCACTCCATGATACTTTTCTTTCTTTTGTCACCTGATCTAAACAGGGGATCCCACTTTTCATGCCCTCTGTAGCTGGGATTTAGGAAAAGATTTGCACCGCCCATGCAACACTGCTTCAGGTCCAACCCGGGGCTTCAAGGTCTTTAACTTCCCACATTCCTACAAGGCTACAGGACAGAAGAGGAGCCGAGTGTCCAACTCACCTCACGAAATAGGGGGAGCAACGTGGGGGCCTTGGAGATTGCTCCAACAGGGGAGCTCCAACGGTGTGGGGAGGGGTGAAGTGGACTTGACCCAGAGGGTCAGTGGTCCTGAGACCTGATGCCCTAGGTCCCTACTGGCTGGGCACACCAGTGAGCCTCCTAGGAGCAAAGATGAGGGACTGTCATTAAGAATGGATACTGGGGGTGCTTGAGTGGTTCCCCGGATACAGTTTTTTGCTCCCAGTCCCCGATCCTCAGAACCCACATGTTCTCATGACTGGTACACGTTCTCCTCAGACCCGCCCACACGTGTGATGGCCTACAATTGCTGGGTGTACAATTCACACAACCCATGTCATACAAATATGTTTAATAACAGCGTTTGTATGGTCAGTAGGGAATGAATTTGGTTGGCCAAGTGCTAGCATAGCATACAGGAAGCCATGGGTGCCCCCTCCCCTCAGCACCAAAAGCCACCTGGTAGCTCAGGCCTGTGATCCTGTATTCCCCAAGCTGGAGGCTGCTGGCATTCCAGTTCACAGACCTCCTTAGTGACACAGTGAGAGAGTGGCCATCCCAAGTCTTTCTGTGGGACCATGAAGTGCCTTTAAAAGCTCTCCTTCACTAAGTCCCCTTACTCGGTGCCATGTCATTATCTGTACACGCCTGTGTGTCTCCTGTAGAGTGCAGGGACACACACTCGCCTGTGAGAAAGGTGCAACAGTGTCTCTTGCAACTATTTGCAGAAAGCAGGCATTGGAGGATGTGGTACTAGCCCACCCCAGTTTTGGTCCACCCCTAGTTTTGGTCCACAGCCTTGTCATCATTTTGCCCTGCCAGCCAGCTGCCCTCTGAGCTTCCAGACTGCCTGTATTGTCTCTGCCTCCCAGGTGGCCACAGAAACCTGCAGGGTATGACCTACCCAACTCCCTCAATTTTGCCTGCATTGTGGGGCCTCAAACGCAGATCTTCATGCTGGTTGGCAAGTGTCATACCCAATAATCCATCCCCTCAGCACTCCCTCCCCTCCAATGTTGAGGGTCCAGGCCAGCCTGGGGTATCTCTGGTTTCCCAGACTAATATCTCAACAGGAAATCTGTGTGAGCCTCCTGAGTCTTGGCATCTCATGCCCCCACCTCCTAGGCCACAGTTTCTTTGGTCCCACATTCTTGTCTTCCACTCCTCTGGATCCATCCCAAGGCTTCTCTCCCGTGCCTAGCCCAGGAAGCACTCATTGTGTGTGTAGGCTGTATGAATGACTGTAGAACCACCTTCCTCCCCAGTTGTCTCTGGTCCTCTCCTGGGGCTGTAAGGTCTCTACCATCGGACTCCCAACCTCAGCATCTGCAACTGTGGTAACCTTCAGGTGCTAGGCATGCGTGTCAGGTGGGAGCGTGGCACAGATGATGATTTACATGTCCCACTCACCTCAAGGAATGGCGGTAACTTGGGAGGCTTGAAGAAGTCTCCTCTTGCAAGGGAGCTCCTACGAGTGGGGCGCCAGTAAAGGATCAGACCCAGAGGGTCAGGGGCCCTAGGACCTGATGGCCTAGGTCCTTACTGGCCAAACACCGATCAGCCTCCTAGGAGAAAGATGCAGGATTGTCATCAAAAAAGTGTATTCTGGCAAGTGTTTTTCTGAGTCAGAACAGTAATCTACCTGTGTGATGATTCTATTTGTGCGTTCCTTACAATTATGAGGCCTTATATATTTTGAGAGGTATCGTGGGCCAGCAAGATGACTTGGTGGATGGAGGCTTCTGCTGCCAAGCCTGAACACCAGGGCTGAAGTCCAGCACTCAAACTGGGAGCCCTAGCCATGTGCCCCAGGCCATGCCAGTGAGGGTGGGCAGGCTCACAAACACACACACACACACACACACACACACACACAGGTGTGAGCTTGTGACCCAAACACATGTTCTCTTGAACCTCATGGTTGAGAAAGCATGAAGCCGTGTCCTGGGAACTCTCCCTACACTGTTTTGGGTGTACAGGGGACCCTGCACTTCCCATCTTTCCCAGGGTGATCAGCAGTTACTTAAGGAGCCCCATCACCTGCCGCCCAGTCCCCCATCCCCCAGAGAATGACATGCTCACACCACTCCATGATACTTTTCTTTCTTTTGTCACCTGATCTAAACAGGGGATCCCACTTTTCATGCCCTCTGTAGCTGGGATTTAGGAAAAGATTTGCACCGCCCATGCAACACTGCTTCAGGTCCAACCCGGGGCTTCAAGGTCTTTAACTTCCCACATTCCTACAAGGCTACAGGACAGAAGAGGAGCCGAGTGTCCAACTCACCTCACGAAATAGGGGGAGCAACGTGGGGGCCTTGGAGATTGCTCCAACAGGGGAGCTCCAACGGTGTGGGGAGGGGTGAAGTGGACTTGACCCAGAGGGTCAGTGGTCCTGAGACCTGATGCCCTAGGTCCCTACTGGCTGGGCACACCAGTGAGCCTCCTAGGAGCAAAGATGAGGGACTGTCATTAAGAATGGATACTGGGGGTGCTTGAGTGGTTCCCCGGATACAGTTTTTTGCTCCCAGTCCCCGATCCTCAGAACCCACATGTTCTCATGACTGGTACACGTTCTCCTCAGACCCGCCCACACGTGTGATGGCCTACAATTGCTGGGTGTACAATTCACACAACCCATGTCATACAAATATGTTTAATAACAGCGTTTGTATGGTCAGTAGGGAATGAATTTGGTTGGCCAAGTGCTAGCATAGCATACAGGAAGCCATGGGTGCCCCCTCCCCTCAGCACCAAAAGCCACCTGGTAGCTCAGGCCTGTGATCCTGTATTCCCCAAGCTGGAGGCTGCTGGCATTCCAGTTCACAGACCTCCTTAGTGACACAGTGAGAGAGTGGCCATCCCAAGTCTTTCTGTGGGACCATGAAGTGCCTTTAAAAGCTCTCCTTCACTAAGTCCCCTTACTCGGTGCCATGTCATTATCTGTACACGCCTGTGTGTCTCCTGTAGAGTGCAGGGACACACACTCGCCTGTGAGAAAGGTGCAACAGTGTCTCTTGCAACTATTTGCAGAAAGCAGGCATTGGAGGATGTGGTACTAGCCCACCCCAGTTTTGGTCCACCCCTAGTTTTGGTCCACAGCCTTGTCATCATTTTGCCCTGCCAGCCAGCTGCCCTCTGAGCTTCCAGACTGCCTGTATTGTCTCTGCCTCCCAGGTGGCCACAGAAACCTGCAGGGTATGACCTACCCAACTCCCTCAATTTTGCCTGCATTGTGGGGCCTCAAACGCAGATCTTCATGCTGGTTGGCAAGTGTCATACCCAATAATCCATCCCCTCAGCACTCCCTCCCCTCCAATGTTGAGGGTCCAGGCCAGCCTGGGGTATCTCTGGTTTCCCAGACTAATATCTCAACAGGAAATCTGTGTGAGCCTCCTGAGTCTTGGCATCTCATGCCCCCACCTCCTAGGCCACAGTTTCTTTGGTCCCACATTCTTGTCTTCCACTCCTCTGGATCCATCCCAAGGCTTCTCTCCCGTGCCTAGCCCAGGAAGCACTCATTGTGTGTGTAGGCTGTATGAATGACTGTAGAACCACCTTCCTCCCCAGTTGTCTCTGGTCCTCTCCTGGGGCTGTAAGGTCTCTACCATCGGACTCCCAACCTCAGCATCTGCAACTGTGGTAACCTTCAGGTGCTAGGCATGCGTGTCAGGTGGGAGCGTGGCACAGATGATGATTTACATGTCCCACTCACCTCAAGGAATGGCGGTAACTTGGGAGGCTTGAAGAAGTCTCCTCTTGCAAGGGAGCTCCTACGAGTGGGGCGCCAGTAAAGGATCAGACCCAGAGGGTCAGGGGCCCTAGGACCTGATGGCCTAGGTCCTTACTGGCCAAACACCGATCAGCCTCCTAGGAGAAAGATGCAGGATTGTCATCAAAAAAGTGTATTCTGGCAAGTGTTTTTCTGAGTCAGAACAGTAATCTACCTGTGTGATGATTCTATTTGTGCGTTCCTTACAATTATGAGGCCTTATATATTTTGAGAGGTATCGTGGGCCAGCAAGATGACTTGGTGGATGGAGGCTTCTGCTGCCAAGCCTGAACACCAGGGCTGAAGTCCAGCACTCAAACTGGGAGCCCTAGCCATGTGCCCCAGGCCATGCCAGTGAGGGTGGGCAGGCTCACAAACACACACACACACACACACACACACACACACAGGTGTGAGCTTGTGACCCAAACACATGTTCTCTTGAACCTCATGGTTGAGAAAGCATGAAGCCGTGTCCTGGGAACTCTCCCTACACTGTTTTGGGTGTACAGGGGACCCTGCACTTCCCATCTTTCCCAGGGTGATCAGCAGTTACTTAAGGAGCCCCATCACCTGCCGCCCAGTCCCCCATCCCCCAGAGAATGACATGCTCACACCACTCCATGATACTTTTCTTTCTTTTGTCACCTGATCTAAACAGGGGATCCCACTTTTCATGCCCTCTGTAGCTGGGATTTAGGAAAAGATTTGCACCGCCCATGCAACACTGCTTCAGGTCCAGCCCGGGGCTTCAAGGTCTTTAACTTCCCACATTCCTACAAGGCTACAGGACAGAAGAGGAGCCGAGTGTCCAACTCACCTCACGAAATAGGGGGAGCAACGTGGGGGCCTTGGAGATTGCTCCAACAGGGGAGCTCCAACGGTGTGGGGAGGGGTGAAGTGGACTTGACCCAGAGGGTCAGTGGTCCTGAGACCTGATGCCCTAGGTCCCTACTGGCTGGGCACACCAGTGAGCCTCCTAGGAGCAAAGATGAGGGACTGTCATTAAGAATGGATACTGGGGGTGCTTGAGTGGTTCCCCGGATACAGTTTTTTGCTCCCAGTCCCCGATCCTCAGAACCCACATGTTCTCATGACTGGTACACGTTCTCCTCAGACCCGCCCACACGTGTGATGGCCTACAATTGCTGGGTGTACAATTCACACAACCCATGTCATACAAATATGTTTAATAACAGCGTTTGTATGGTCAGTAGGGAATGAATTTGGTTGGCCAAGTGCTAGCATAGCATACAGGAAGCCATGGGTGCCCCCTCCCCTCAGCACCAAAAGCCACCTGGTAGCTCAGGCCTGTGATCCTGTATTCCCCAAGCTGGAGGCTGCTGGCATTCCAGTTCACAGACCTCCTTAGTGACACAGTGAGAGAGTGGCCATCCCAAGTCTTTCTGTGGGACCATGAAGTGCCTTTAAAAGCTCTCCTTCACTAAGTCCCCTTACTCGGTGCCATGTCATTATCTGTACACGCCTGTGTGTCTCCTGTAGAGTGCAGGGACACACACTCGCCTGTGAGAAAGGTGCAACAGTGTCTCTTGCAACTATTTGCAGAAAGCAGGCATTGGAGGATGTGGTACTAGCCCACCCCAGTTTTGGTCCACCCCTAGTTTTGGTCCACAGCCTTGTCATCATTTTGCCCTGCCAGCCAGCTGCCCTCTGAGCTTCCAGACTGCCTGTATTGTCTCTGCCTCCCAGGTGGCCACAGAAACCTGCAGGGTATGACCTACCCAACTCCCTCAATTTTGCCTGCATTGTGGGGCCTCAAACGCAGATCTTCATGCTGGTTGGCAAGTGTCATACCCAATAATCCATCCCCTCAGCACTCCCTCCCCTCCAATGTTGAGGGTCCAGGCCAGCCTGGGGTATCTCTGGTTTCCCAGACTAATATCTCAACAGGAAATCTGTGTGAGCCTCCTGAGTCTTGGCATCTCATGCCCCCACCTCCTAGGCCACAGTTTCTTTGGTCCCACATTCTTGTCTTCCACTCCTCTGGATCCATCCCAAGGCTTCTCTCCCGTGCCTAGCCCAGGAAGCACTCATTGTGTGTGTAGGCTGTATGAATGACTGTAGAACCACCTTCCTCCCCAGTTGTCTCTGGTCCTCTCCTGGGGCTGTAAGGTCTCTACCATCGGACTCCCAACCTCAGCATCTGCAACTGTGGTAACCTTCAGGTGCTAGGCATGCGTGTCAGGTGGGAGCGTGGCACAGATGATGATTTACATGTCCCACTCACCTCAAGGAATGGCGGTAACTTGGGAGGCTTGAAGAAGTCTCCTCTTGCAAGGGAGCTCCTACGAGTGGGGCGCCAGTAAAGGATCAGACCCAGAGGGTCAGGGGCCCTAGGACCTGATGGCCTAGGTCCTT